CTCCTCTGTCCATGGGATTCTCCAGGCACTAATACTGGAGTGGATTGCCATGCCCTCATTCAGGGGATCTTCCAAACCCAGGGATCGAATCCAGGTCTCCCGCATTATAGGCAGATGCCTTACTGTCTGAGCTACCAGAGAAGCCCCCTGATACAGTACATGGTATTAATAGTTTTCTAAATAATTGTGTGTATTGTTTGATATTTAGAGGAAATTCTGATGAGACAGACAAGTGTTAATATTTTTGTCAAGTTAAGAAACTGGATCTCAGAAAAGTGAAGAATCCCAGTGTAAAGTGAGTAAATCTTTAAGAGTAACTTAACTTATCTGAAATACCAATAAAACAATGAATGATTAAAGTATCTTTAATGGTTTAATACTCCAAATGAAGAGAACAAAATGGGGTGAGTTCTAAAAGCATATTGGATAGCTTCTTGCCTTCATAAACTATTGGGATATCTTTCTGTTGACTAGCTTTTCTCCAATAACAGGTACTGTATTTTGTTCTCACCCTTCACCATCAAAAGTCTTCCAGGGCTTGCCAAGTATTTATTGCAGAGTAATAATACATATTTTAAAGTCAAGATCTATGTAAAAATGAGTCTCTGTTGTGCCCTCAAAATGTTTTTTCCCCCTCCCTATTTTGGTCTTGTGTTACTTGTTGAAGAGTCTTTAATATACTACATCCATAAAGAACAAAATGCTATGAAAAGTATCAAAATCAAAAAGTAGTGACAAATAAAATTGCTAAAATTAAGGTAAATATAAATTAATTAAAGTTGAAAGACAAAACCAGTAAATTCTTCTGATTTCATCATAAGTATAAAAATTCTGAAAACAAAAAAATAGATGAATGATTTGAAATATACATCTTACAAACATCATCCCAAAAGGAAAGAATAATATGGATGAAAAGAAATTTAGGATAGAAGGGATTCAAACTCTTAGAGTTAAATAACATCAGTCATCAGCAAAAGGCTTGCTTAATAATTGAAATGTTTCATGCCTAGGCACCACTGTATAATTTCAGAATCACAGGGAATAAAGGCAATATTCCGAAGCGGCAGTCAATGTGGAGTGGAACAGTAGCAAGCCACTTACAAATAAACTAGACTGTTAGAACAGGTACAAAAGGGTGTCAAATGTTTTAGAGATTAAATGATACTCAACTTAGAATTGTATACCGATTTAAACTATCAAACAGTGGGACACTAAAGTGGGAGAGAGACTCAAGAGGGAGGGGGTATATGTAAACTTATAAATGATTCATGTTGTACAGCAGAAACTAACATAGCATCGTGAAGTAATTATACTCCAATCAAAAAATAAATAAATAAAATAAACTACAAAACATATAAAATACATCTTTATATATATGAGGACTTGTGCACTGAGATATTTACATTAATATACCATTCCTTAGGAATTAATCTGAGAATATACTCTAGTAAAATAAAAAAAGAGAGGAAAGACTATACGAAATCTAGGAAATGACAGTTTCAGCCACAAAAATCAATGAAAAGACTCCCAGGATGAAAATTGTAGGGCACACATAAAGAGTTATCAGGTCAGAATAAAGCAGATGTTTGTAGAAATTTAAGAACAATATATACTGGATGGTATCTGGAATGAAATTGTATGTATTTAATAGTATTTATTATTATTTATTATTGTCAACTAACCACCTGCTTAGAGATTAAGTATGTCACAGAAAACTATGTAAATATAACATACAATGTTATATACAGGGAAGCAAATTAAATTATTAAAGTAGACATACAAAGGGAGAAGATGGAATACGAAAAGAATAGATGAGAATCATGGGATGTGGTAGGTGGGCCCTGATATCTTCAACTTATAAAAGAAAATATCAAAACATACTACCTCTAAAAGATGAACATGATGTGTATTATTTAAAAGACTCAAAGCTGAGCAACACAGGGACAAAAATTATAATAAATTTTTGAAGCACAAAAAATAACTGGAGGCTGCAGTGTGAGTTCAATCCTTGTTTTGAGGGCAGAATAATCAATTATGAAAAATATGGAACATCAGATATTTAGTATGAATGTACTGGAATGGACATTGCCAGCATTTTAACTTTATCCCTAGATTATATTTCCCAGTGCTCCAGATAACTGCCACTGCCAAATCTGTGCCTGAGGACTTTTTCCAGAAGGCAGCTATGCCTACTACTGGGGATGGTCAGAAGTGTGAAGAAATGAACAACCACCCAGAGCAGAACTTGACCACTGCCTAATGGAAAAGTTCTAGAAGTATCCTGGCTCTTTCCACCAGCAAGTGCAATATGTTTGAGGCACGTGTTACCTACTTTTTCCTAGAATCCTTTCTGTAGGATTAATCCCTACTCACTCATGGTAAACTGATTTAACAATATACCCTAGATTAGTCACTTTTCCTTTAAAATGTTTCTTCCTTACATCCTTGCATCTTTCAAAAAAAAACTATCTGCATTTCACACCATGTCTCAGGATCTGTTTCTGGGATAAATCTATATGAAGATATATTTATAGTTAAGAAATCAACCAACAGGATTGACTGATGGTAGAGTGATTGAGAATTCACCTGACAGTGCAGGGGACATGGGTTCAGTGCCTGGACTGGGAGGATTTCACAGGCCGTGGGGCAGCCAAGCCCATGCCCCACAACTACTGGCCCCACGGGCTACAAGTGCTAAAGCCTGTGCCCCTAGAACCCACGCTCTGCAGAAAGAAAAGCCACTGCTCGGTGCAACTGGAGAAAGCCCATGTGCAGCAACAAGAACACAGCACAGCCAAAGATAAACAGATAAGTAAAAACAAAGTTACAAAAAAAGAATAAGCTAGTAATACAAAAAGAAGAAATCAAACAATAGATATTAAAATGGTTTACCGAATGAGAAGTAAAGGTAAGAAAAGAGCTTTGCATTAAGTCCTTACTATTTGATTATTAATAAATGCTCCTATTTTGATATGTTGACATATTGATAGATGATATATTGACTGATAGATAACAAAATATAGATAAACAAGATAGTTCTGTTGTTCCAGTTGCTAATTAACCTAGTCAATTTATAAAAGTCATAGTTTTTAATATTTTAAAATTTTTTGAAGGTTTCATATAATTTATTCTAAAGCACAAAATAGGCATTTTAAAAAGCAGAACTATACACTGAAAAAGTACATTTATATCACAAAGCATTCACCACATAATAGTTGTAGATACATATGCTGGAACATGTACATCTACACTAAATATTAAATTCAAATCAATTTTTCTATCTACACAGAAACACAGAAATATTAACCTCCTATCAGTAGTGGTAGATATTTTATACATTTTCAAAAAGAAAACAAAACAAAAGCTTACAGTTGACCAATCCCAAGTACCAATGCCAGGGCAGGTGAAACAATCTATTCACAATGTTTGGTTTTCCTATATTTGCGGTGCTCATGCCAGTGGGAGGAATTAAAAGCAGAAGTGATGCTCAAGAAATTTCTGAGTTTACAACCCAGTTTATTCTGTAGATCTAACCTTCAAAGTGTTTCTTATTAACCAGCAGTTATGTTCTCAGTACAAGCTCCTGCCAAAATCCAGCTCAGTTTCTTTAACTTAAACATGTGGTGCCAAGAAAATCAAAACCGTAGAGTCTTCCTCTTACCATCCTTCTATTTTCAAATTTCTTGCTGACTGAGACATGCACAGCTTGCTGACTGAGTCATGTTTGCCTAATTCTACTGATTTAGTATATTTCACTTGTACTAATGTAATGCAAAGTGTTTCCAAACGCACAAAACTGCATGATGGTATATTTCCCCCTGGAAACCCTTTAACCAAGCATGTTTTATGTACTTCTCACTTAGCCTAATATATTTGTGTACCTCAGAACTAAAGTTTTCTCTACTAATAAATATAAAAATACATTTTTTCATATCATAGGTTAAAACAGATTCTCCAAGAAGGTTAGCCAATTCCCAGGGCTCCTTTGTGGCTATCATACCAGTGGCAAAGCAATAATGTTATGTCCATAGGGATGTTGCAATTCAGTTTGAAAACTACAGATCACACTGTAGTTATGCAAAAATAGCTCTTATTTTTTGAGTAAGATTTGAGATGTTATAAACCTTAGGCCTTACTGGTTCAAGTTGTTGGAAATACATGGAAACTTTTCAGAGATTGACAAAGGCAATGTATTTTGGTGTGCCATTAATAAACCTTGTCTTGGTCTATAAAGACTGAATTTTTCAATGAGATCATCTTTAGGGTAAGGCAATGGTTTTAACTTTTTACCCAACTCATAGTTTGAGTGATACAGCAAAGAGATAACACCATCAGTAGCCTAGTTTGGAATCAAAACTTATATTCCTAACTTGATTACAGACTCATTTGATAACAGATTCTAGAAAAGGGAATGTTTTCCACATAGGAAACAAATGTCCCTTAATGCCATGCCAGCTCCCCAAATTTTTACTGAAATTTTGCTAAGGAGACATTAGGGTTCATTTATGATCAGGGGAGACACAGATCTAGTCTTGAGGAGTTTACAGAACTAAGCACACAGACTGAAAATAATTAGTATGAAAAATATCCTGTGTGTGAGTGTGTGTGTGTGTGTGTATGAAATTATGACATACAACAATAATTGGTCAACAAGATGAGGGAAATTTTTTGTGAGACATGAAGCAAGAATGCAAACTACTGAAGTGAAGTGGAGAATGCTGCTGATGGTAGAAATGATATTTTGAATGGGAAAAGCACAAGCAAAGGTCCTGAGACACAGACAAGATGCTTCTAGAAAAGATACAAAAAAAACCAAACCAGAGACCAAATACTATATCCAGCAAGCAAAGATATTTTGTTTTTATAACACAGTATTTTGATTTTTCTTCCTAGTAGCTATTAGACAATATTTAAATAGTGGAGGACAGAGGAGTATGGAATGCTACAGTCCATGCAGTCACAAAGAGTCAGACATAACTTAGCGACTGAACAATATTTAAATGCCAGGAGACAACACAGAAAACTCTGCACATCTTTCAGATGGACAATAAGAAGGGACAATATCCGAGCCACATCCCTGCACACACAGGTTAGCTGAATAGTATTATTCTCCTTTAAATGGCTATCCCTTCTCCCTCCTGCCATATCCCACATTCATTCATTTTATTAACTTCATTACAGGGACAACTACACTTGCAATCACTCCTCTAGAAAGATCTTTAGTAATCCTTTCACCATTTTGTCACCATTAGAGAACCCAGAACATGACATGATCTTAAAAACTATACTCATAGTTGAGGGACAAATGTAGGCTTCTGTGACTGGATATAGAAGGTGAGAGGGAAAAATCACAGGAGAAGAGACTGAGGATTAGTGGGGCATGAGGCCACACTAAAGGATTTTTACTTCATCTTAGGGCAAGATCTTAAAAGCCATCAAAACAGATGAAGCTAGGGAATGAAGATCAGATTTCCAAAATAAGGATTCCAACCTACTGGAGAGGAGCGAGATATTACTTTTGGTGTACACTTCATAAAGTAATTCCCAACACATCATTTTTTTCTTTAGTTTTTAATAAAATTTTATTGGAGTGTAGTTGATTTACACTGTTGTGTTAGTTTCAGGTGTACAGCATAGTGATTCAGTTATATATTAGGGCAAGATCTTAAAAGCCATCAAAACAGATGAAGCTAGGGAATGAAGATCAGATTTCCAAAATAAGGATTCCAACCTACTGGAGGGGAGCGAGATATTACTTTTGGTGTACACTTCATAAAGTAATTCCCAACACATCATTTTTTTCTTTAGTTTTTAATAAAAAATATTGAGGTATCAGTTGGGATATTCCATCTCTAACCAAATGGAGGAACTGAGACTATGAGAACAGTGTCTTTCCCTCAACCACAGTGCTGATAGCTTTCAAGAGTTAAACAAAAACTTTAAGACTTGACTACCGATGCCTTCTCCAGAACAGAAAGTGAGTAGGATGATAGCTCTTTTCATGGTCACTCTACATAGTAAAGAACCTGCCTGCCAATGCAGGAGACCTGGGTTCAATCCCTGCATCAGGAAGATCACCTGGAGAAGGAAATGGCAACCCACTCCAGTATTCTCACCCGGGAAATCCCATGGACAGTGGAGCCTGGTGGGCTACAGTCCGTGGGGTTGCAAAGAGTTGGACATGACTTAGCATCTAAAACAACAACCATTTATTTAAGATAAGACACACAATTCTGTATCTGCCTAAGAATGACTAATAAGACCTAACAGAATCTTAGAAAACACTTGTTTATAGTTGAGTAGGAGGACAAGAAGACCTCACTTTGTCATCTGTTTCCTTTTGGTAAATATGTGCTGATCAATATTTAAACAGACATCTTTAAGAAAAACATGACAGTCTCTAGCACTGTGCTGTGTGCTGTGCTTGGTCACTCAGTCATGTCCAACTCTTTGTGACCCCACAGACTGTAGCCCACTAGGCTCCTCTGTCCCTGGGAGTTATCCAGGCGAGAATACTGGAGTGGGTTGCCAACCCCTCCTCCAGGGAATCTTCTCAACCCAGGGATTGAACCCAGTTCTCCTGTATTGCAGGCAGATTCTTTACCATCTGAGTCACCAGGAAAGCCCAAGAATACTGGAGTGGGTAGCCTATCCTTTCTCCGGGGGATCTTCCCAACCCAGGAATTGAACCAGGGTCTCCTGCCTTGCAGGAGGATTCTTTACCAGCTGAGCTACCAGGGATGCCTGGTAAAATGCTGACTTGAAAATTAAATCTAAAGACCTACACACAGATTGCTGCATTGTCACATGTGACTCTGCACACCTTTTTAATATGGTCAAAAAAGAGGTCTTCTGCCATAAAAAAACTGCATTTTAAATAAAAATGTGGGAAAACAAAAAGTAAGTTACCACTAAACGAAAGGCAAAATAAACATTTGTTTTTATCTTTCCAGCAATGACAAAGACAAAAAAAAAAAAAACACAAACCTTTGTATGTGTTTTAAAATATGATTCTTAAAAATATGGCAAGGATCTATTTGATCTCAGGATCAAACAGATGTTTTGATCTGCTGAAATCATGGACTTATGTTATCATATATTATAACATTTGAAAAATATATCCTGCTTTGAAAATAAATCATAACAATTGTATGGTACACCAGTTTACTAAACTAACTATGGTAGAAAAAGGAAAAGACTATACTATATACATAAAACTTGCAAATTACTTCCAAATCACTTCCAAACCATAGATAAGTCATGAGACAGACTTTGTTTTCTTGGGCCCCAAATTCACTGCAGATGATGATTACAGCCATGAAATTAAAAGATGTTTGCTCTTTGGAAGAAAAGCTATGATAAACCTATAGCATATTAAAAAGCAGAGACATTACTTTGCCGACAAAGGTTCATATAGTCAAAGCTATGATTTTTCCAGTAGTCATGTATGGATGTGAGAGTCAGACCATAAAGAAGGCTGAGTGCCAAAGAATTGATGCTTTTAAACTGTGGTGTTGAAGAAACTCTTTAGAGTCTGTTGGAGAGCAAGGAGATAAAACCAGTTAATCCTAAAGGAAATCAACTCTGAACATTCATTGGAAGGACTAATGCTGAAGCTGAAACTCCAATACTTTGGCCACTTGATGTGAAGAACTGACTCATTGGAAAAGACCCTGGGAAAGCTGGGAAAGGTTGAAGGCAGGAGGAGAAGGGGATGACAGAGGGCAAGATGGTTGGATGGCATCACAGGCTCAATGGACATGAGTTTGAGCAAGCTGTGGGAGATGGTAAAGGACAGGGATGCCTGGAGTGCTGCAGTTCATAGGGTTGCAAAGAGTCAGACATGACTGGGTGACTGAACAACAGAAGTATATTAACAAATGCTAACACTAAGTTTCATACGGGGCCTATAATTATTACTATTTTGTGTGTCTATGTTCATCTTTTCTGTGCAGCTGGAGTAATATTTTTAAAACAATCATCAGAATTTGTTATTTTCCTGGTAAATCCTTTTCAATAAATACCTGTAGCTGTTAGAACAAGTCTGGGCACTCCATCATTGCCATAATAATCTGGTTCCAGTTTGTTTACAGCCTCTCTCTAAACACACACTCACATCCCCCTACAAACTGCTCTGGTCACAATGGATGCCTTTCTGTTCTTCATATGCATCTGGTCTTTTTCTGTCACCTGGAGTTTGCACTTGCTATTTCCTCAAACTGCATTGTTTTTGAAAGGTGTTCACAAGTCTGCATGCAAGCATGCTAAGCTGCTTCAGTCATGTCCAACTCTGTGTGACCCCATGGACAGCAGCCCATCAGGCTCCTCTGTCCATGGGATTCTCCAGGCAAGAATACTGGAGTGGGTTGCCATTTTCTCACAAGTCTAATTTGCTGTTATCTTTAATAACTCAGGATAAATGTCACTTCTAAGTTTCAGGAATGCAACTCAAAATGAATGACAATATGAATTCTCTAGGTCATCGTGTCAAACTTTGGCATGTTTGCTATGAGAAGCCATGCCTTTTCCCTGCCTTGCAACATGAAACAGCAAGGTGTAGTTTTTAACTTTGTTTTACATTGGAGCACAGTTGATTGACAATAGTGTTAGTTTCAAGTGTACAGCAAAGTGATTTAGTTATACATATATATGTTTCTATTCTTTTTCAAATTCTTTCCCCATTGAGGTTGTTATTACATAATGTTGAGCAGAGTTCTCTGTACCATACACAGGGTCCTTGTTGGTTACCCATCTTAAATACAGCAGTGTACATGTCAATCCAAAATCCCTAATTATCCTTTCCCCTCATTCCCATAAGTCAATCTAAACTCCCTAATTATCCCTTTCCCCTCATGAACCATAAGTTCATTCTCTAGGCTTGTGAGTCTGCTTTTGTTTTGTAAAAAGTTCATTAGATTCTTCACATAAGTGATCCCATAAGATATTTCACTGTCTCTGACTTGCTTCACTCTGTATGACAATCTCTAGATCCATCCATGCTGTTGCAAATGGCATTATGGTTTAATATCATCGAACAAACAACCCAATCAAAAAACTGACAAAGGACTTAAATAGACCTAAATTTCTCCAAAAGAAGGGAAGTGTAGTTTTGATGGCTGAGTTTTCCCACTTCACAGGTCAACCGGCTTCTAACCAGGTTTGAGCCATAGAAGGTAATGACAGAATTGAACAGCAAAGGAAAGAGATGGCACACATATTATTTCTGGACATGGATATGCCTGCTTGTGACTCCAGCACCTTCAGACATGCCTACAAGACTTCAACTTCCCTTGAGTTCTTCTTTGGTGTGTCCTTAGTCACACCTTATTTCTGTAACAAAGCCTACTTTCCTCTGTCTCTCCCCAAACCCAATTTATTAACTGTTAAAGCAGCCTCATTTTTAATTTGCTGTGTGTTTTAAATTCTCCACCTTTGAAGGAGGTGAGCTTGTGTCCCAAGAATCTTCTATTCTGAAATTTCTAATTAATAATACTTTCATCTTGTTAAGTGCGTGTATGGGTTTGCTCAGCCGTATCCAACTCTTAGTGACGTTATGGACTGTAGCCTGCCAGGCTCCTATATCCATGGAATTTTTCAGGAAAGAATACTGGAGTGGGTTGCCATTTCCTCCTCCAGGGGATCTTCCCCAACCAGGGATCGAATCCACATCTCTTGTGTCTCCCGCATTGGCAGGTGGATTGTTTATCATTGTGCCACTTGGGTTAAGGCAGAGAAGTAAATGCATTGCATTTTCCACTGATGGCTTTTCAAAATATTTGAAGACCACAGCTGTGTAGCCAGAGTGCTCTTTCCTTCCAGTTGAACTGGTTCATTTCCTAAAAGGAAGGTTCTTCACAGGTTACCTCTAAGAGCTTTTCCGGTATTAAGAATCATGTGGTTAGAGCATCTTTGGCTTTTGTTCAAAATTGTGATTAAGAACTAGCTAAATGATGTCTTAATCCCTGTGGTTATCCTTAGGAAATAAAAACTTCCTTAGGAGCAAATTGTGCACATGTTAAAAAACAAAAAAAGAAAGACCTTATTCCTCTAATGACCTTTTTGGGATATGTCCAAGTCTGGTGCATTTTTCAGTCTTCCTCTATCAAGATTTAGATTTCAAATGTTGAGTCTTCGTTAATTTGTTTTGATTGTTTGCTCCATGTCCTGACCCTAATTGTCCACTGAGACATTCGTAATGCAGTTATGACCTTTAGATTAATTTGCAAACATTTCCTTATCTTCTAGATTCTTGGCATCTGTGATACTAGCTGCCAATATATTGACAGATACTGTTGAATAAAATAAAGGCTTAATTTAAGAATTTAATTTAGTGGGAACAGTTAATATAAAAGCATAAAGTATGTTATAATTTTGTTATAGGAATATCGTTAACATGCAAAATAAGAAGGTGAAGAAGTCATTTGCTTTTGAAATTAATTTTGAGAGTGACAGGAGATACAGCTCAGTGTGGGCTGATGAGGGGAAACTGTCCTTCTTTTTCTTACTTTGCTTCTATATTTTGCTTTACTAAAATTACATTTGGTTTTCTGTCTTCCTTTGTTTCTTTGTTAAGGAAACTCACTGAGTGTCTTAAAATGGGTCCCGTCACCTCTGGAACATTTCCACCCTAGGCAACTCACCAGCTTAAATGTTACCAATATTCTGAAAGTTGGCATTTTAACACATTTCAAATATTCCACCCTTTATGTTATTTCATTAAGCTCCTCTTTGGTCATTTCAAGAGCAGAAATTGTCATCCCTGACTGCCTGTTCCCCCATCATTCACCTTTCTGGTAAAACTCTTTCTGTTTCTTCCATATTCCCACTTGCTATCTTGTCATTCCAATATTTCTTTTCAATGTGCATACTCAAAATTGGTATAGAAATCATGGGTTTGGCATTCTAAGAAATGCCTTTGATATTGTTGAACTTTCTGTTTATCAGTGTAAAAGTACTTTGCACACACATACACACTCACACACCTGCATTTAATTTAGAAACCAGTATTCATCACAAGGTTTCTAAATTTCCCTTATTTATTCCCCAGAGAGACTGGCAAACAGTTTAAACCTACTAGTCAAAAAAAGTGAGTTGGCTGTGAGACATGCTGGCCTTGGGATGAAACGCTGCAAGAACAACTAGTAATCATACCATTTCTTTCCTTTACACATTATGAACTTAGGGCTAGTCTCCTTTCTGTACTTTCTGATTGGTTGAGTGTAGTTAAGATGTCCAGTGAAAATCTAGGTAAATTACCTAATGTTTACTGAGCTTATTCTATGCAGAGATAAATAAGAAACGATTTAGTTTGACCTACCCTCCTCAACTCCCAGATAATATTTGGAACCCTTCATCAGTTTATCTTCCAAAGTACCTAAATTTTGAGAATGGGGCAAGCACAGCATTTTGCATATACATGGATTTTTTATAGGTGTGTAATCAAGTGAGTCTATATTTTCATACATTATCACTGTTCATTGTCAGGAAAGTAGATAGAGTGGAGGAAATCATCTCAGTGATGCTACTTTTGGTTCTGTGGGTCCTAACTAATTCTTGAAATCAGTGCAGAAAATGCTTGTCATAAATCTTGAAGGCATTCAGTGCAAACACTGTGTTACTGTAGATCTTTGAAGAGACAGAAGTGGCCCCACCCTGGGGAGAAAGCTGGTATAAGGTAGCAAAGACTAGGGACTTGTGTGCATTTTTTTGCAACTAAGGAAACTAATTCACCTCACCACCCTTTAGTGTCTTATGTGATCTTATTATTTTCCCTTCCGCTCACCATAAATCTTTGCTTCTCTCATGACCTTTACTAGAAACTCAATTCAGGAGATTATAGGAGAATGTCCAGGAAGTCAACTATTTTTATTATAGCCAGAAATGGTGGCATTTAATGATATATTTTACAGACCACCCCAGCCCATTTATTTGGCTTTGCAACTTTAGAAACTGAGGCTCAACACCTAAAACACTCTTCCAATTTTATACTGCTTGCAAGTTGCATAGTGAGGGCCAAGAACTACTACAAGGGCCTAAGTTGACTTTGTCATCCCTTAGACAAAGGCTGGGTATAAAAATAAACATAACTTTTTGTTTTCAAAAACGTCAAAGTGAACTATTTCTACTGTATCTTTTTCTTTTAATAACACAATTCGGGTTTTTTTTTGTTTTTTTTTTTTTACCATGCCAGAGCAAGATATAATAAAGCAGGCTCTACTTCTATAGCAAAGCACAACAAAGAAGTGGATCATGAATATAAATGTTAACATCAAACATACCCACTGAAAAGTAATAACACTACAACAAGATAAGGCAATTTACATGAGTATTTCATAAAGATTTTTCTCCTGAGATTTTTACAGATCTCGCTTTCTCCTAAACCCTGACTTTTTTTTCTTTAATTTAAAGGAAACTGTAGTGATTAGTTACATTGCCATTGAGAACCAGATAAATATTTATGGAGAAAGAATGTCTATGTATATCTATATAGCAATAATGTGCAGGGAGAGCAACAGATATTCAGAACCGGAATCTCATCTCTGTAGGGTGCATCTATTGCATCAGGAACCTATTGTCATTCTTTTGTAATGTGGGCACATGAGCTGCATTAACATTTGACTCTGATTTGGAGCTTTTGTATTTCAAGGGGCTCAAAAAAATCCACCTGAATGCTGTCTGCTTTCATGAGCAAGAATACCTGTGGTCTCATTTGCTCAGACAGATAAAACCACAGAACATATACAGCCAGACTATAAAGAATCTGCCTGCAATGCAAGAGACCTGAGTTCTAGCCCTGGGTCAGGAAGATACCCTAGAGAAGGGAATGGATACCTACTCCAGTAATCTTGCCTAGAGAATTCCATGGAAGAGGAGCCTGTGGGGTTACAGTTCATAGGTCTCAAAAGTCAGACACAACTACTACACCCATAGTAAGATGTAGACCTGGATACACCAGTGTTGATCCCAAAAAGAATTCTCAGTTTCTTGTAAAACCCCTATGACAGAGTGCATCTTGTCCTCTTGCTCACTATTTAGGTGCTTTTATTTTAAATGAGTGTTAGTCATTCAGCCATGTCCAACTCTTTGTGACCCATTGGGCTGTAGCCCCCCAGACACCTCTGTCCATGGAATTCTCTAGGCAAAATTGCTGGAGTGGGTAACTATTCCCTTCTCCAGGGGATTTTCTCAATCCAGGGATCGAACACAAGTCTCCTGCATTGCAGGCAGATTCTTTACTGCCTGTGCCACTAGGGAAGCCCTGCTCACCATTTGCTGCTACACAATCACAGATGCTTTAAGTATCTACTTCCATGGCCAACTTGTCTCTTGATATCTTTTGACTTCACCCCACTTCTGTCCTAGAAACTGTCCCATCCACTTGGAGCTAAGAAACAACTGGGAGATGAGGGATAATCTTATATGATGTTTCTACACATCTATTAGCAGTTTTTGTCTTCAATTATCTTTTCTATGCTATTTGCATAGCAGACAACTTTGGAAAATAAAGGTGCTACCAGAACAGAAGGGAGATTTGAATCCTAATACAATCAAGATGTCTCCCTCTAGGTCAAAAGTTGACAGATTTAGAAGCAAGCCTCTTTACAAGACTGGGACTTTCTAAAATTTTGATTTCTTTAGCTGTATACAAGTCCACTGTATCTACTACCCAAACCACTCCACGTGACCCCCACAGGACTTGTGGGAAAAGGGGACCTGATATAAACATGAAGCTCATGCGGCCAGCTGTGCTGTGAGTAATAAAGGTCTTTATCTCTGATCCAGGAGTCTGTGTCTTCTGCCAGCATCTATAAAACTGGTCGGATCATTTGCTAGCTTCCAAGTAGGGGGAATCACAGAATCAGCACGCAAATGTATCCCCATTGGTCACGAGCATTATCCAGGACATTGCCTGACTCCAAAAGGATTTTTTAATAAAGAACTAGTAAGAGTTGTTACATCTTCTCTGTCATATAACAGGAGAAGCAAAGGGTTTCTGGGTGGCCAGAGTCCTTTAGTATCTACCCTCCACCACACATCACACTCTCAGGTGCACTGTATATTGACATGCTGAGGTCTCTATTTTGGATTTAAAGCTGAACATTGACTCTTTTTGTCTCCCCTGACTTCAAATCTAGTGCACAAGAGCATATTCTTATCACAAGCAATGAAATCTACTACTACTGCAGTGGTGCAGAGAGGAGAAGAAATCTGAGTGGAAAGTGTACTGGAAGGAAGACCGTTTCTGGGCATCAGAAAATGAAGCAGATGTTTGACAGTCAGGTGTTTGAGGGAATTCTAGGCAGAGGAATCAGCGCAAGGCAAGTAAGTCCAAGAGGCTTGAAACCAAAAGATGAGATTTTCATGCATATCATAATTGAGAAATGAAGTTCTTCACAAAACCCTTGAAGGTAAGGATGGCAGAAGCCCCTCAGATCATAGTCAAAGGTTCTCAACTCTGTTTCATAGAATTCTGGGTTCTTTAAGAGGAAGGGAGGGTAGGAGGGTAGTTTCCAGAACCTTTCCAAATTAATTTCAGTAGAAATGTTTCTGTTCCAGCTATAGTCAGGCCCCTTTGAGAAAACCGAGGTGCAAAGAGAGAGACTGATATCTTTCTGAAGACTGCATAGCCAGTAAGTGGCAGAGCAAGTTTTTGAACTGGCTGTTACAGATGGAATTGTGGCTTCATTCCCTCCCTAAATCTGTATGTTAAAGGTCTAACCCCCAATGGGACTAAAACACTGGGGCTTCCACATCTATAATCACAGCTTTTCTCAACAACAAACTGCCTTTCCTGATGATTGCCAAGATGTCTTCAAATATAAAGACATTGTAATCCATCAAAAAGTCACTGATGTCTGCATTTGTGTTTTGCAGGGAAAAGGATACAAGTAACCCATGGACCTTTTTTGCAGGTTATTTTCTTTATTTACTGCTGGTAATGAAATGATAAAAGTGCTCAAAGCACTTTTTAGTTGGTTATGAAGAGAAATCAATACTGCTTTGTGTTTCAAAAAGGAAAGGCATGCAAGGACGCTGAGGTATTAAACACAAGTGGATTGAATAGTTATTTGTGAGGGGTTGCTAACAATTGAATTACTATTTTAATGTCATAACATGGCAGCACTCAAGATTACCTTTCACATCTAATCATACCATTTACATGGAAGTGGGAAAATGCTTCTGAAGTGGCCAAATGCTATTCACTGAATGGATCACAATCATACTAGAAATTGCTCCAGAGGAAAAATAATCAAATTCCTTGCCAAGCCCTGGGGAAAGGTTACTGTCTCTTAATTTAAACACATACATACACATGCACACACACATGCACATAAAGCACTTTTTCAAAAAGGCATCATGGCAAAAAAAAAAAAAATATCATGGATTTGGGCACTGGTTCTTGGCTTCAGTTTTGACTTCAACACTTGAGTGTTACCTGTCTTTTGTCACTGGTAACACTGGAGTTATATTCATAAAAATCACATATAGAAGAACACTGTGCCCCCAATGTTTGTATGGATTTTTACGCCATTACATTTTACAAAACCCTTTGTATTAGGTGCTATTTTCATTGTCCTCATTTTACAGGTGAGAGTGTTGAGACAAAAAGAGTATTTATGTCTACAGTTGGGAGGTGGCAGAAGAAGAATTCAAGAACAAGTCTCATTCTATGAAAAGGCAAAATGCTGCTCTCATCAAGAATACCATGTACTTCAAAGAAACTTCATGAGACTCGGAATACATCTCTAGTGGGGCACCTGTCTCCTTGCCCAGGCCCTGGGCTACTTCTGTAGCCACATTCACTATTCCCAAGCCCCCCTCTCACTCTTCTAATTATATCAAATGTACATTCATAAAATATACTAGGCTTTTTTTTTTATGTCTTTTTGCCTTTGACTGTCTTAGAATGACTTTCTATTTGTTCAACTCTTCTGCTACACATAGCTCATGTGTTACACTCTCCAGGATTCCTTTGCAAACTCCTTCAAGGAGTCTGCTCTTTCTCCTTCATTTCCAATAACATTCTGTTGAATCTCTCCTCAGGGGATGTGCATTGTTATGTGATTACTCATTTGCCTTTTCTGCTCAAATGTAAACTGTTAGAAGGTTCTTTCTTTCAATATGCCTGGCATCTAAATACAAAAATGTCTGTATATTTTTACATGTATTCTTATATTTATGTTTGAATGTTTGTACATCAGCAAATATATGAAATTAAGATGCTCCAGAATTGCTGAGACTTAATAATAGTGAACACATATATACTGGGCACTTGCTCTCTGCCAGGTATTGTTGCAAGCATTTTGTGGATAATGACTCAAGTGATCCTCCCATAACCCAGTGGAGCTGGTACCACTAACAAGCCTATTTTCTAGATGAGGGCATTGAGGCACCAAAAAGTTCACATATTTTGGCCAAGTGGACACAGTTCTAAAGTGCAGAATCTGAACTTTACACTTAAAAATATGACTCCACATTCCACATTATCAATCACTGTTTTACTGAAAAACCAAGACCCAAATATGACAGAACAAGGTAGAGTTTCACGGTTCCTATGTGGCTAAAGTGCTATGTACATCAAACAGAAGTATTACAAAACTCTTGTCTACATAAAATAACCCCTTCTTTTTTCTTTAAAGACTGAGTATTTGTAGTTGTATCTAGCAACAGCCCTCTAGCATTGACCGCTACAAAAATAGTACTTTTAGAGTACTAATTTTAAGACGTTGACACTCATATCAAGTCTTTAAAAGTGCACATCCATCCAAAGTATGGCACTGAGAAACTTGCAAAACCACTTTCAGTCTCAGCTTTCACATCTTTGAAACAGGGATACCAGCAATGCCTACCCTAGACAGTGGGTGATTAAATGACAAAATAGATGCAATGGACTGAATCCAACACTAAGTACCAACTTCATTATCTCATTTAATTCTGTCTATAAATCCATAATGGGCAGGGGCTATTGTGATCCTCAATTTACAGATACAGAGAACAAGTAAAATGAGAGAGGAGGAATTTTCCCTTTAGCAGACCAGAAGTGCTACTTTATTTAGTCAAATTATATTGCATCCATATTTGCTCTGTCCCCAGAGTTTAGAACTTCTACTATAATGTAACATTTCTGACTGTACTGACTGGTGATTAGACAGATGCAATATACAGTCATACCCATGTTTGAAAAAGACCAGTGCCCCCAGATATGTAAGCCATTAATTTCTAAAAATAATAATTACATTCTTACTGGGCACCCACTATGTATACTAGCTATGTGCCAGGCATCAACCAAAATGCTTTATACTTAATGCTTAATACTTTTAAGGTCCACTTAATGCCCTATTTGGCAAATACTGCATATATACATAAAAAATATAGACACAGAAAGGTTGATCAACTAGCAGTGTCACACAGCTAGTAAGTGGTGGAAGCTTGGATTTAAACTTAGTCATGCAAACTTTGCCAAAATGTTTCCCTGCTTCTTCTCATACTCCATTATCTATGTCCCCAAATCTGAAGGAGCTGACTGTAGGCACATATTTCCCAATATCAATCACCTTCTGATTAACTTCAAGCTAAAAATTTTAAAGATGAATATCCTTTGTTGACTAATCAGTAACTCTTTATGATGCTTTATTCTGTGTGAAAAATTTTGTTTAAATAGTAGTGTTGAGGTAAATAACCCACAGCACACACCCCCCCCCCAAAAAAAAAAGTGAATTTGCAGAAATCTTTGTTTTTGACACTCACTGCATTTACACAGTATTTTTTAAGTAAGTATCTACGTGATAAACCTTTTTCCTTTTCCTCCCAATCTCTACAGAGGGAAGAAATACTTTAGATCAAGAAGAGATGTCTTTACTAGAAAAATTCAGGACTGTAAATGTCATTTGTTAAGTAAAAGAAGGAGAAAAAAAGCCTAAAATATGTAGGATTAGTGAATACAGAAAGGAAGTAAGGTAAGGAGATGGAAGACCTTGAAAGTAGGATTTGAATTACTGTGTCTTCAGTCCAGCCTATTCTCAGACATTGTCAATATTATTTCAGTCCCCAATGTAGTTTCACCTAGAGCTAGACATCCTGGGGTGTGAAATCACGTGGGCCTTAGAAAGCATTACTACAAACAAAGTTACTGGAGGTGATGGAATTCCAGTTGAGCTATTTCAAATCCTAAAGATGCTGCTGTTAAAGTGCTGCACTCAATATGACAGCAAATTTGGAAAACTCAGCAGTGGCCACAGGACTGGGAAAGGACAGTTTTTATCCCAAGCCCAAAGAAGCGCAATGTCAAAGAATCTTCAAACTACTGTACAAATCTCTTTCACATGCTAGTAAGTTTATGGGTAAAATCCTTCAAGATAGGCTTCAGTAGTATAAGAAATGGGAACTTCCAGATGTACAACCAGTGATCAAATTGTCAACATTTGTTGCATCATGGAGAAGCAAGGGAATTTTAGGGAAAAAAATCTACTTCTGCTTCATTGACTGTGCTAAAGGCTTTGACTGGGTGAACCACAAAAAAAAATGTGGAAAATTCTTAAGAGATGGGAATACCATACCACCTTACCAGTCTCCTGAGAAACCTGTATGCAGGTCAAGAAGCAACAGTTAGAACAGTACATAGATCAACAGACTGGTTCCAAATTGGGAAAGAAGTACAACAAGGCTATATGCTGTCACCCTGCTTATTTAACTTCTATGCAGGGTATATTATGTGAAATGTTGGACAGTATGAATCACAAGCTGAAATCAGGGAGCTGATTGCAGGAAGAAATATCAACAACTTCATATAAGATGAATACCACTCTAATAGCAGAAGGTAAAGAGGAACTAAAGAGCCTCTTAATGAGGGTGAAAGAAAAGCGTGAAAAAGCCGGCTTATAAATCAACATTCAAAAAAGCAAGATCATGGCATCTGCTCCCATCACTTGATGACAAATAGAAAAGGAAAAACTGGAAGCAGTCACAGATTTATTTTCTTGGGCTCAAAAAATCACTGTTGATGGTGAGTGCAGCCATGCAATTAAAAGACACTTGCTCCTTGGAAGAGAAGCTATAACAAACATAGAAAGTATATTAAAAAACAGAGACATCACTTTGCTGCCTAAGATCCATATAGTCAAAGCTAAGGTCTTTCCAGTGGTCATGTACAGATGTGTTAGCTGGACCATAAAGAAAGCAGAGCGCCAAAGAATTGATGCTTTTGAACTGTGGTGCTGGAGAAGACTCTTGAGAGTCCCTTGGACAGCAAGAAGATCAAACCAGTCAATCCTAAAAGAAATCAACCTTGAATATTCATTGGAAGGACTGAAGCTGAAGCTGAAGCTCCAATACTATGGCCACCTGATGAAAAGAATCAACTCATTGGTAAAGACCCAGATGATGGGAAAGATTGAAGGCAGAAGGAGAAGGGGGTGACAGAGGATGAGATGGTTGGATATTATTCAAATGCATTACTTTTATTATGCATTTTATCATTATGACATCAGCTCCACCTCAGATCATCAGGCATTAGATTCCAGAAGTTGGGGACCCCTACTTTAAGGGACATGGATTTATAATATAAATAAATAAATAAAAATCAGTTCTTTAAACCCCAGGGTAAGTAGTAAAGAAACATTTTAGTGAGAATATTGTGCTCTTACTTTTTTGGTGTAGCTGACTGGGTAAGGTATGTGTGGAATGCTTTTAAAAATATAAAACTCCTCAAAATTATTTATAAGCTCTTAATTTATGCTGCTTTTTACAGAACGTTAAAAAATATGATCTTGATAAAATTAATCATTCACCGTGCCTATGTTTCTAGAAATCATAACAGTGAAGTCTCAACTGAATAAGTATCCAACTAAGAAAATAATCAGAGTTCATTCCTGGGACCTCATAATGAATGCCTCTGGTTGCAACTCAGGATCCTCCAGGGTCAACAGAGATTTCTCATATGAGTGGTGTTACCATCATATCCCTTGACCACAGGATAGCCATTCCTCCATCATCTCCTGCTTGGCAAACTCTTAATCATTCAAAAGTCACTTTAAATGTCATTTTTCCTGTAAAGAATTTCTTGATTTTTCAAGGCCTAACTGTAACATAGCACTAGCTCTGTAAGTGCTACGATTCATATTTTCCCACTAAACTGTGACCATATCAATTTTAAGGACAGACTTTTATACATTAATGTGTTTCTCAAAATTGGGAGAGTCAAATATTGATACATGGCAGGGACTTTAAATGCTGTTAAAATGCCTAAATTCATGCGTGGAAATTCTTCTGATATTCAACCAGAGTTCCAATATTCATGGCTAATAGCATTTCTGAGTGGTCACTGAGTGTGCATGTTATACTGATGGTTCACTACTGTGAATAGAACCTTTACCTCTGTCTTGTAAGATGTGTAGAATTGTTATTAATATATTTACCTTTCTTGACTTAGGCCTGCAGAATTCAGAATTGCTACTCATGTGGCTATGACAATATAGTTACATTAGTACTTACATTTACTAATCTTCATTGTGTAATGTTATTTTGTCAGATGTACCACTTTGCAGATTTGTTTCCTTTAAAGAGTCATTAGTGGGGAGAAGCTAAGATGGCGGAGGAATAGGACGGGGAGACCACCTTCTCCCCTACAAATTCATCAAAAGAACATCTGAACGCTGAGCAAACTGCACAAACAACTTCTGATTGCTAGCAGAGGACAGCAGGCGCCCAGAAAAGCAGCCCATTGTCTTTGAAAGGAGGTAGGACAAAATATAAAAGATAAAAAGAGAGATAAAAGAGCTAGGAACGGAGACCCGTCCCGGAAAGGGAGTCTTAATAGAGGAAGTTTCCAAACACCAGGAAACCCTCTCGCTGGCGGGTCTGGGGGAAGTTTTCGAATCTCGGAGGGCAACCTAACTGGAAGGAAAAATAAATAAAACCCACAGATTACATGCCTTAAAGCAACTCCCAATAGAAAAGTACCCCAGACGCCCGCATCCGCCACCAGCAAGTGGGGTCAGAACGGAGAGGAGTGGGCGGCATTGCTTCGGAACAAAAGAAAGACTGAGAAATTCCAGAGTAGAGCTAGCTGGCGGTGAACCAGCCCATCCCCCGCCAGAGGCAGGAGGCGGGGGGAGGGGAAAGGGGCAAACTCCGACCCAGAGATGGCATCCCCTACCGAACTGCAAACAGGTTTCCAGTTTC